TATAACTAAACTATATACTCTTCAGTTGTGATCAATATACGATGAGAGGTGAGTAGAGAGAATAAATGCATGTCTAGCTGAACAAAACCAGCAAAAGGCCAACACATTTTTATGTTTGTCACATAGGACGTATGTCCCTCAAATAAAACAACTTTAAAAAATTTTTTGGAACATGCCCCGGTATACACACTCTGTTCAGCACACTGTTGAACAAAAATGACTATCATCAAACATAAATTGATCATCGTCAACGATGGTGCTGATGGTGATGATGATGACGATGATGTTGATGGCGATGATCAGGCAACACATTACAAGACAACAGCATTGCTCCCATCATCGTCGTCATCAACTGCAACAACACAGCAACAGTAGCTGTAACCAACAACAGTTGCAGCTGCTGCAGTAACACAAAAAATAGCAACAACAACAATATTAGCTTTCAACTAAACATTCAGTAGTTGTGATGGTAATAACATTAAATGATAATAATGGCTATTAAATGTTTCAAAAAATTAACTACCACATTGTAATAAATGTTTAAAAAAAATAACATTTCAAAAAGAAAAAACGAAGCTCCCTAGGATTTATTGATATATTAAGAGATACAATTAAGATCTATTGAAAAACTTTATTCACCCTGTTACTGTTTACTTAAAGAAGTAAAAAAAAAGGTCGAAAAAGTTGAGTGCAAAAGAAGAAATAAAATCTAAATTTAAAAAATTATATCAAACATCAATGCAGTTGTATATATCAGAATTTTAAACCAATAAATAAATAAAAGATTAAATAAATTATAAGACGTTTCAATCGAAGATTAATAAATGATTGCAAAATGAATGAATACAAACGCTGAATGCATATCATTCGCTAAGAAATAGACATGAAAAACTGTCTAGGAAAATAAAAAGAATAGAAGATTCTCTCCCTCCCTCCTCCCACACACACACACAAAAAAAAAGTTTGATGTAATTAAACGATTACTATTTGCAAGATTAGTTAGTCAAAGAGCTGTCTGTTACTTACCCTAATCCTTTCGTTTCACCAGTGTGTCGGTTAGTACACAGATGACAGACAACCTTATCAGACAGACTTCTTAGGTATCCATTAATCCCTGTCGCTTCTTAAGATAGTCATTTTTCTGCTCACCGATATTAGAACTTACGTTTAACAACTTTAATTATCACCTAATAAAAGCCTGCTTTTTTCCCAAAAACCAACCTTCTTTTCTCAGAACAAAAAAAAAAAAAAAAAA